GTTTAGTCCACCCAATTCTTTCTTTGGAGGCTGTAAGGTGAGGTCACAGCAGTATCCCTAATCCTGGGGATGTCTTCTGAAAGGGATCTCTGGGGCAAAGCCTTCTACTCCTTGGGCATACTTGTTCCCCAGTCACAGTGCCACCCCAGTCTAGCAGTGAGCTCTCCATTCACAGCAAGCTGCAGCATGAGGTTTCAGCTACATACTCCTCCCCTCCCTTTCCTGTGGATAGCAGCCAAGGGAATGTTGGGAAATGTAGTTCTTTCCCTGCCCAGGGCTGGCTCTATGGGCAGGAAGCTAACCAAGGAACTACACCTCCCAGGGCTCTCTGTTGGTTCTCAGCTCCCATGCTGGATCCCTGCTGGCTGCCGCCCGTGCAAATGGGCTGCCCCAAGCACCTGCTTGCTTTGCTGGTGTCTAGAGCCGCCCCTGGTTTATACCTTACACTCCACAGCAGCCTCATTCCAGTCTTGGTATGGGAACAAGTTCTTGTAATCTAGGTACTTTGTTGAATTTATTCTTGGTTATCTGATTCTATTTCATGATAAAGATTAGTTGTTTAATTATGATAATAATGTTTAGATATTAGTTCAGCTTAATTAGGATAAAGAACCTGTTAGTGAATACTTATGTGCAAACCACTGTGGTTAATACTTAGAGCTTTTTGAATTTTATATTCAGTTTTATATCTCTAGTCCATTCAATATCGTTAACAAACCTTCTTTTAATTTACTTAACATTTTAGGATGTCGTGTTTAGTTCAGAGGTTTTTTTAAGAGTTACTACATTGTATCACTCATTTTATTCAGTTTTTTTAATCTGCTGTATCTCATTTGCATACTGCTTGTTGAGTGCATACATTGGTTTCTTCCTAATGGATTAAGTAGTTGATTACTTAAACAAACATTTCTGTATTTAAAGTCAAGCTCAGTTTTTTTGTGGAACATCCCTTAGTGTAAAGGAAAAAGAATCCTTGGTAACATTTTATGTGTTTACTCCTGATTGCAGTTTCATTAATAACCATAATCATTAATTCCATCTTTTCATTTGCTTTTCTGGAACTAGTCAGATGAGAAGCAGTTAATAATTGAGGTAATTATTGTTTCTCCCAATTATTAATTGTGATAATATTTTGGTTCTTTTGGTAAATTTATTCTGAAAATTAGCTCATGGACATGGGGTCAGGGATGTGATGTGCTCCTAAGTTGATGTCAGAGTGCAGTTGCAGAAAATGGAGGTCCTGCTCTAAGGAAATGAATGCCGTTTGTCTGGGTGAAGATATTATTAAGACTTGATCTTCTTGTTGGGGGAGCTGAACCGGAGTTAATTTTGTTAAGATGGGAGTTGGACATGGTAAAACCTTTGTTGCTTTAGCAGAGCAATGAAAACTTCAAACCAAGTGACCTATGGCAGAACATACCCAAAGTGCGGAGTGTGCACATGGCAGTGTGGATGGGCTCACAAAACTGTGTGGTGGAAACTGTTCTCCTTGGCTTGGTGGGGGGATTGGGTCAGGGAAGGCCTGCCATATGGGGTGGCAAAAGGGGGCTCTCACTATCCTGTGTTCTCCACAGGCTCCAGGACACGGCTAGGTTGTGGTGCTCCTGGCAGAGAATACAGCCCCTCCGTGTTCTCCAGCAGAGCTGTTTGCTTCTGTATCATGTCCAGCATCCTTTTCTGCATGTTCACAAGCTCCCTTGAGTGCAGGGGGCAGGATAGTAATTGTGTGTGCAACTCTACAAGCGGTCATTACATTGGACCATGTTACCCTGACAGGGCCGGCTCCAGGCACCAGCCCACCAAGCTTGTG